AGAGGGCTGCCCATGTCTCCATACTGAGAACAAGGGCGGTTGGTGCACAAATATGAACTGTATATTAACCGGTCTGGGTCTTCCATGAGAGCAATATGTTGGGTGCATTTCGGAGGGATGCACCCCGGACTACTACATAATTATCTGATGGAATAACCTAAATGGACATACATACATACATACATACATACATACACATACATACTTACATACATACATACATACATACATACATACATACATACATACATACATACATACATACATACATACATACATACATACATACATACATACATACATACAGGCAATCGGGAGGCAGAAATAAGCTAACAGACACACAAGCAGAACGACGGACAGGTAGATAGAAAAGCGGACAGAATGAAACAAAAATAGATGGTCGGATGCCGGCAAATTGAGTGAACCTCAGCGGGAAAAGCGAATCATGAATGATGTAGGTGTTGCACTCGATGATTGCGTATATCACCAGAGTCGATAATCGAGCAGATGGCGAATACTAATCAGTCTAGCAGGCCGGCTTCAAAGCTATTGCATTTATTCGTGGATTCCATGCATCTGATTGAACATGGTGTTCACCACTGTCCCTGAACAATGCACAATAATTATCATATTCTAATCTCGAGGTGCAACGTATTTCTGCAACGGAAGCGTCGTTTCATCACTGAGATTCTTTGAAGTGTTCATGGCATGAAACTACGCGTGAGAGTCATAGCCTTGTTTTAAATATTCAGCGAAATCCTTGAGAAGGTTATTGACGTTCTACTTACCCGAAATGCCGTCCCGAGAACGGCACAAATTGGTGTTAGCGAGTTTCCCCATACTATTGAGTAGTCTATGAAAGTCCATTTTGTCAATCTGCATTGACAGAGCAATCTAAGGCAAAAATGGCATGACTGTTTACTGTTGAATCACCCGCTGCGGTCAGCTAGCATACACAGTTTACTCCTACTTGATTGATTACCGGATAACCCAACGATCTCACAACACGCCTGATTTGAGAATAAAGTTCAACGACAAATAATCCTGACCATTTTTGTCGCAGTATGATGTTTTGGAACATGCGCGAAGATAGGTTAGTCCCTCCTCAGCGGGGCCATTTTTGGAACTCACCAAAACCATTTTGTACGGAGAAATGTCGTTCAAACGCACAGGCATTATAATGATTCGCCTGACAACTTGATCTAATGGTGGAGGAACGAAGGAACACAGGCACTCCGCTAAGGCTGACTAACTTATATAATTTCGGTTGATTATCAAGAACGCAAATAGCCGGACTGGTTTCAAAATCCCCAAAGCCGTCTCGATCGGTTTCTCTTGGCATTCAGGATCGATAGCTTTTTAAACCATAATCCTATCTCTTCATGGATGTTCGACATTCATTATCAGCACAGCGGGTTGGTAAAAGTTTTTGGACAAAGCACGACCAGTTTTGTCTTCCTTGGGGCTCGGCAAATAGGTTACGTCGCAGCGCTTCCAAACAACCATCCGGAATCGTTGTGAAGTTGACTAAGATATTGCAACAATGAAAGGAGAAAAGTGCCGGAAAGATTCATAGTGATCCAGACGCACCCAATGCCCTTCGTTCTCATAATACTTGTACCTCTTGAACCGGCTAACGACTGTAACCCACCAAAACATTCAGTAAAACTAAAGAAAGCAGAAGGAGTAAACTGAAGAAGGGTAACAAACAGATGTCATGCTACCCCATTTGAAGAGTTAAATAGAGAACTGCCAGACAGGACCTAAACATACCGTCACTCATATCAACACTTAATAGCTTCACACTTAGTTCGCTCTCGAGAAGCAAAGATAACTACCTTGACTATAGTAATCTGATGAAATGATGTAACTCATGAATCTACAAAGACGTCAATGAGCCTGTTGCGTACTCTCACCGCACCCGGGATAACATCAGGGCAAATTCTCAATACTTGTCTAAGAGCGCCTTCTCTTGAAGACACTACCATGCTTCTTTGTATTCAAGTTCTGTCATTTTACAGTCGCAGTTTTCCATGCAAATCAAACTTATTTTCCACTACGGTCGTTGAACGCCTTCCGGACCAAATTATATTCCACCGATTCGGTTCCGCAAATTGGCTGCAGAATTTCCTCCAATCACGCCACATCTGCTCCGTTCCTCCGACAATTCTCAATTACAGGAGAACCAGCCATATAAATACTCATGTGTTTTGGGGTACACTGATTTACTTGATGCCCTGAGGATCTTGGAGCTAAATAGAGGTTGTATTCTGGCTTGGTTGGCTGAAATTATTCTACAAATCGTCCGATTCCCTTGGCTCCACAAGTTCAATGCCCTTTCTTCTGAAGTGTTTGTCCAGTTGCTCCTTTGTACCTGCAATTTGTAAGCGAATTTCTGTGTTATCGGTCAAAAGTGACACGCCCTTCACAATATCGATTCAGTGATGACGAATTTACTTTTAAGTTTTGGAGTTCCACGGCCACAGAGTTTACTACCGTCAGTAGACGTTCAGCACAACCTTAGTGAATGGATCTAGCCAGTATGACTCGTTTTTTCACGTGACGAGCACGTCTCCATAATTTTTGCGAAATACGAGACGTCTGTGGGAGTTCATGTGTAAGAAAAATAATAAGCAGAAGGTAATTTTTCAGTTCCATGCTACCAAGAAGAGTACGAGTGTTCAGATACTGCTCAGTTCTAGAGAAGAGCAGTGGGGTGGGGTCAAAACCGCCGACTCTCCGACCTATCTCCTATTTTATCACCAAGGGCCGTCAGTTACGCCAGGTAACCTGCAGCCTACGAAAAGAAGATGCTAATTCAAATTTCGCTTGTCTCGGTAACATCGACGGAGTCAAATATCATATTCCTGCATAAGGTGTTCCATCCATCCTCGAGTGCTGTAAATGTTAGGTAAGTTATCCCTAGGACACAAAGAACACCGTGAGCAATCTGCGCACCAAGTGGATTGAAGCAACACATCACTGGCAATTCTGAAATGAAGTTTATTTTGCAATCCACGAGAAAGTGACCATATACACAAGGAATTATTCTGGGTCCAGTCGAGTCCCCCGTTTAAAAGAATTTAATGTGCAAATGAGAGTATTTGCATTCATCGGAAAGGGCATTTTCTTGAAATCAACCCTAGGATGCTCGAAATCATGGAGACCATAAAACTTTAGCAAAATCTGAATAGGTGAGCTGGCAAGAATTCCGTTCTGTCAATCATTCAAACAATTTAGCAAAAGTCGTTGAATGTTCATGCATGCCGCAGAAGGACGACAGAATGTGATCAGCATTCTTGCATCTCATAAAATCACGATCGATTTTAATAGGTGTTCATTAAACGCCTAGTAGACAGACTGAATCAATGTCAGATAGTGCCCTTTAAATAGTACGGGGTGGTTTTAATTTTTCACCGCACGTACTCACTCAGTTGTTGGGATTATAGCTGTTTTCCTTTTTCATTAAGTTATTTCTGGCATCGGGCGCTGGAGTTGGGACAGCAGTTTATAGAACATTAGTATTCCTTCTTTCCTTCCCAAAACGAAGTGCTGTTTGAGAATGCCGCCGACTAGTGGCGAGAAGATGTTTCAAACGATCGCTGAATTCTGTATGTAAACGAACTACTCAGATAGCCATCTGAGTTTGAGTGTTGGCTGGATGACTAACTCCTTTAATTTTCGTTCGTATGCCGCGGTTTCTAGTGGATCCCCCGGATAAAGCACATTTATTACAATAGGAGAAAATGAGGGTTCTGAAAACTGTTGATTACTGATCATACAGAGTCGCAACAGGGAAAGTTATCGAGACGGGAAATCCATTGTTCTTGGAGCGCTTATCGCAAATTCTTCGTAGTTGGTGTTCTGTAGTTTTCTGCCTCCACTGGGCTCCAAACAGCATCTAGTTCAGTGCAGCGTAGGACTGCTTGCATACTATAGTCCACAACTCAAACAGAAATTCCATCGCAGTCTGTAGTTTGACATGTCTGGTCAACCTCGGAATGACTGTCCAGTACAAAGTGATTTTGCACGTTACTCTCAAGAAACACATATGTGGAACGTGCAAATCAACTGTCACACGACATCTACTCAATGGCGTTTGTTCGTCTTTGATGTTTTCGTTTGTGTTCTCCCATCAACTTTATGCTTTAATTGACCATCACATCGTACGCCTATCTAATGAAACCCAGAAAGGAGAGGACGATAGTGCCCTTTTGAAGAGTATACATCAATCTTTCGTGTAGGCGGTCGTTTCAAAAATAGTCAAAGAGTATTTTTCGTGCATGAAAGGTGTGGCTTGGCGTTTTCTTGGTCAGCTCCTAAGCAGATATTCGTCCTCTTATGTTAATCTGATTCTACGTTGTTCGAATTTCTGCGCGGTACCGCGCAAGCGCCGCAAACTAACCTACTATTTTGGGTGACTTGATAATGGTGCTGAATGGAAGTCGGGCTAGTTCCACGTGCATAAAAATAGACAAGTTGATGAACATAATACAACACCAGGTTGCCATGCTCTTAAGAGTACAACTGTGAAAACAGACGATTCCAAACGACTGCTTCATGTCCGATTCATAGAACAACAGCCACCGTTTCAGCGAAACCAGCTGTGAGGTTGCAACGGACTGTGTGAGAACTTATTCGAAGTCGATGAAAATAAGTTTGACACTATGTATCTGGTCTGGCCACAGTGAAAGTTTATTGAAAATAGAGTGAAAAATAGTGAAGAGGAAAACTGAAATTTAATCAGTGTGTTTGAGTCGCCAAATGAACACAAAACTGTCCTACATTTGTCGATTGACTGACCCTTTTTGTACCATACATCTGATGTTCGATGGCACGTCAGATTTGTGGAAGCGACCTGATGAGTCCACAAGGCTTGAGAGTGCGGACGGTTTTAGCTTATTCACCAAGGTCTTTACCGAACGAATTCCGGACAGCTATTTTGACGGAATATTTAACCGGTATTGTAACGGTAGCAGAACAAGATACGGACCAGTTGTAGTTCATTTTATTTTGGTAAAATCACACAACACAATACGTGCTCATTAGGAACAGATGTTGTGGACAGCCTCGATGAGGGTTTCGGCATCGTACCCGGCTTTGCACAGCTCCATTAGATGAGCTGTTTGCCGAGCTACCTCGGGGACCTGAAGATAGATTGATAACAGAATCTCAGCGAGGAAGTCAGTCTAGGCGTGTAAACGAAAGATTCACCACGGACGCGACGGACGGATGATCATGCATGCCCAAAACAGGTGTGCACTGATGTCTAGGAATGCATTCAATCAATCGGCAAAGTGTTCACACAAGATTCCCCCAACGTACACCAAAAGAATTCAGCATTCTTGAGAAAATATGGTCATTATGCCAAGATTGTCTGTGAGGCACATTGAATATCGATTCAACGATGAGTCGGCGAACCAAATCGCATACATACGGGGTGCTGGTGAGCGTCGGCATTCTCCGATGCTAACGAAGAACGCGCAAAATATTCCAGATACGTAGCAGATAAGTGAAGCTCTGTGAACTCTGAAACGAAAAACGTAGTACTAATTTGACCGGCTTTTCCCGGCTCGGGGCTCATCAGGTAATCGCCATACCCGTGTTTCTGTCAACCTCGCATTCTACTTGAAGCCTAATTCGACCTGATTTCACATATGCACTCAATTGCGGGCGAATTTGCTTTTGAAAGGAGAAACACATGAATCCACTTGAATCTCGCCACTGATGGTTCGCTTCAACTGAACACGAGGTTGATGAGAACCCGGGAAGTGCGCCATCATGATGAGCCGGAATAAAATCAAACGTGGTCGTGAGCTGTATTAACCATCTGAGTAGCCCAGATTATGTTGCTAATAATGAGGTGCTTGAAATGGTGCTGAACGTCCATGATTCTGGTTGCAACTCTAAACGTTAAGGTAGCGAAACCTGTGGGACGGTTTTGTGAAATTTTGAAATCAATCAGACAAGTCAGCTTGTTGATAATTCACCGATGTTATATAAGTTGGTCAGGTATTCAGTGGTATATTTTGATTAACCATCCTACGTCATCAGATCAAGCCGTATGAAATCAGACGAACTAGTGTGATGCGGTTGTTTTTGAAAAACTCGCCCAATTACTACTCCACAAAACCGGTGTAGAGGAGCACAATACCGTCAGTGGAGACGGTCGAACCCGAGTAAGTATTACGGTACAATTAGCATCCGTGTCCTTCGAAGCAAAATACTTGCAGGTGGAATCGAACGCATTATCTGGAAGTTGGCTGGGACGACGTGTTTTTGAAACTGGTTTTATATCACCGGATGCAGGTAAAACAAGGGTTAAATCAACATACGTTTGAAAAGTTTTTCGGAACATTGAAACCACAACACACACAGAATGTGAAACAGAGGTGCTGAAATGAACTGATACCCGATCATCAATTATGGGCACAATTGGGTGCTGTCTCTGATTGAGCGCACCTGTGTTTGGACGTAGATGTGTTCGGTTGATGTCCCTCGAAATTGTGAGGTTTGAATAACAATACTCATAATTTTAGCCAGAATTCCCGGCCAGATGTTGCCTCATTACATTCATTAGTGATTCTGAACACGGATCATTTGGAAATAAAGGGACGCCGCTTTGCGACGGCTCCTTGGTACTTCCTACCTAAATCAAGTATCTCGTCGTAGTGACAGGATATTGCGGCTAGGATTCAGTTCCCAGTGAATTCATCGATGCCACAACGATCAAGGGGTCAGTCGGATGACCTGAGACACTGAACTGAAACGAGCGGAATTAAACTGAAAAAAACTGTACCGAAATGTACTGGACTGAACTGAAATGAACTGAACTCCTCACTCTTCATTGTCCATAAGTTACGTCTGTTCTAACGGGCTTGGTCATTAACTCCACAAGAGTGAATAAGTTGTCAATTAATTTATGCAATTTTTTCCGCGCTTCTTTACATGCATCACGAGGTCGACTCACCTGTTTAATTGTGAAGCAGTGCATCCGGAAATGATCGAATACTGCCTTGAAACACGAGATCTCATTCCTGTTGGACAACTCGTTTACCGATGGCTTATAGTGGGTCGTCACGTCCATGACAATGTCGCGAAACATTTCCTTGACGATGTGACCAAGCTGACAGTAGTCAGAAGAATAGTTGCGGGAGATGTTTTTTATTGACTTTAAAAATTATTCGCACATCTAAACGACATATCGATTCTTACCTAAAACGAGATTTAATCGTGCGTTCAGGTACTTTCCGGAGATAAGTTGTTTAGGAAAAAAATTACGAACCTGAAGCGCTCGGTATAGTTTCCGCCAAGCGGTTTCATGTTCTTCCACTGTTATCGCCTCCATCAGGTTTCGTGACATTGAAAACAAGTAAACCCGCGAAGACGGTTTTCTATCTGCAGCACTCAGCTGGAACGAAGAAAGCAATTGGGCAACATTCATTGCTAGCCCGAGCTCTGGCAATGCAGACTGGCAAAACGGCCCTTCCTGTCGACGCTCCACTGAGGAGACACTAGCTAAGGACGTCAGGGTAAGGGACAAACGGAAAGTACCGTTGACATTCGTACTTCTGCAAACATGAATTTCATGAATTTCTCTGAATATCTGAAACGTGGCCCCAACTGTCATGTGTAGTTCTATGCCACGAACACATCAACCACTTGGTTGACGAAACAACACCACATTGCAAGAATTAGGCTGCACATGAAGGATCTCAGCTGATTATTTCCGTGTTATGTTATGGGTAGTTGTTTCATCAAAGGCATAGCACGAATAATTCCAATCGCTGTCATGCGTGTCTGCTACACCGCCGTCAGCTGCTTGATTAATTCTGCTCGAGATACACGCAATCTTCAGGCGCTACAACTGGCTAATCTATGTTTCGCTTGATGCGATGGGTTTCGCTACATTGTTTGTTATCTGCCTATCTATCTCTTCGTCATACGTTTTTCATTTCTAGCCATCTGCACTCCCAACTATCCACCTATCTGTTTGTTTGTCTGTCTTTCTGCGTGTATGTAGGCATGTGTATGCATGCAAGTATGTACGTCTGCATGTCCATCTGTCTGCTCGCATGCGTGTCTGTCTGCCTGCCTGTTTTTTCTCTCTGCCTGTCTGTCTGTCCGCCTCTCTGATTCTCTGTCTGCCTGTCTGTCTCTCTGATTGACTTTCTGTCTGTGTGTCAGTCAGTCAGTTGTCTGTCTGCCTGCTTGCCTGCCTGTCTGTCTGTCTGTGTGTCTTTCTGTCTATCTGTCTGTCTGCACGTCTGTCTGTCTTTCTGTCTGCCTGCCTGTCTGTCTGACTGTTTGTTTGCTTGTTTCTCTATCTGCCCGTATATCCGTCTGTCTGTTTTTCTTTCTGTCTGTCTATATTGATGTATGCACATGCGCGTCTTATTTTTTTCATTAGAGAGGCTGAAAATTATCTAGCACTTCGCGACTGCCTCCACCGAAATACACCCAGCATACGGCGCTCACGAAAGACCTAGACCGGGTAGTACATTGTTCATATTTGTGCACCAACCACCCATGTTCTCAGTATGGAGACACGGGTAGCCCGCTGGCAGCCGAAGTTAGCAACACGTCTCAAGAACTTCTCCGTCTAAATAAAATGGACAAAACTGGAAAATCGCGGGGGAACTTCAGATACCAGCGGTAACAAAGGCTTCTGTGATGACATAGAGAGCTTGATCGGTTCGCTGATTGTAGGTAAATGTAGGTGTCTGTTCCCCACTGGAACGCGTTCGAAAGTGGACGTCTACGTCTGAAGATGCGGCAGTTCTCTCCATTCATTTTATCAGTTTACCGTTGCGAAAATCGTGTTTTATTGCTGCAACGATCGACGCTAATTCACGACTAACAAGTAAACCAGTACTAACTGGTCCAATAGACAATTCAAAATATCAGATATTGCCTCAACACATACTGCTATTTCCTTGTCATTTCGGTGCATCGGTAGATCATAATGACCTTGGAATTTCCCAACTGGGAGACTTTTCATCGCCTGAAATAATCAATAAATTGAAGCTTATTAGTGCAACATCAGGTAAGGTGGTATCCGTTTCCTTACAATATGAAACTGATTTGGCCTACAAATCTAGTCCTACACTTTAGCTGTCACTTGTTCTTGTTGGAGGATTTCGTTGGCACTAAACATCACTTGCGATCCTGTTTCTCGAACAGCACCGATGTAAAACGTAGCGCTGGCAGTATAATCTAAGTTTGCCCAAAATTACATCAACTACATTTTAGCGGTTCAGGCTGATGTGCAGTGTCTGATTTCCCGTATGCTTTTTGGATGAGACCGTGTCACTACTCACTAATTCGCCTACCAGTTTCCAGAAGTTGCATGCATTAATTAGATGTTCAGACCATGCTTTTCAATCTGTTTATACCGAAAATGGAAAAAACTCATAGCAAAAATATGTGTGATTAGTGAATGTCTTGCAACCACAAGCTATTCGTTACGAAGTTCAAATAAGTCCTTCACTGCTCATGTGTGCATGAAAATGGGTTTCAGTTTGCCATGGTGCCTGAAAATCTGACTGAATTGTTAAAACAGGCTAGATAGTTTGCTAAAGATGTCCTCAAATAATATAGTTTAAACTGGAGTCACACCACAGAGAGTCTGTGACGTGTTTGTCTCGATCGTTTCTGTCAGACCTATTGTGAACTTTCGCTTTGTGCTGGCAAGCAGAACTTTCCCAATTGAATGGATATTTTATCCTGTAAGTGGAGCCAATCTGGGCTGGAAAACCAGAAAGTATTTTATGGCTGTTTCATCCTAATTGGGAGTCAGAAGCAGCGCGTGTTTGATTACTGTAGGGAATGAGGAACCGGCGACCTTCCAATCAATGGTGGAATCGTTGACCTTTCAAAGGCAAGAGATTGATCAACAGCGTGATCATCTTTCACTTAGATGGCACACAGCGTCACTCACCGTCTAATCACGCAAATATGCATCACGTGGCCACGTATTGTCTGGATCATCGAGTGTTAATTTCTCGGATGGAAATTTCACTCATCGTGTAAATCTATCCTTACTCCGAGTTATGGTAGATGGTCCTTTTGGATTTGATTTCCTTTCGTCCCACAGCACAGAAAGGTATATAGCACAAGGTACCGAATGCCATTACTTTGTTATCCAAAAGTGACACTGGATTGCATATCGTATCGAGGTGCCCGGACCAGCTGCCTTGTGTCTATGGATCCTGAAGTCCCTAATCAGCTGCCAACTTTCAAGAATAACCAAATAAAAGTGTCCACTTGAAAGATGCACTCATTTTCATAACAGTTTAGATTTTCACAAGTAACTCAAGTGAATATCCCCATGACTGTTTGTGACTCACCATCTCACCGTACCTCATCACGTGACTACTTACTGTCCTTCTTTTCACCTCTTCGTACTGTTGATCCAGTGTACGCGTTTTAATGTCCTTCTGCGGGCATTTGGGAGGTATGAACAAATGTAGGTTGCGGGAAGCATGCGGATCTGCTTACACAACGTTAAGATAGATCCAATGTAGCAGGAACCAGTCAAAACACTAAAGTTATGATATTGTTGTTAGTATCCTCAGCGAATCACTAGTGTCTGCCGCTGGTCATGTTGCTCCCATGGTATTTTTTTCAGGTACTTCTGTGCGCCTAACAAATGGCCAAGCCAACTTGCGTAGTAAAACCATCACCGAAGCTAATACAACTGAGTTATGGAACAAGATATATTACTGACGAATCACAAGGTACTTCGCTGTGCCAGGGCTATTAAGTTCCAGGGCAACAATTTTCATCATCATCATCATCATCATCACAATCATCTCATTGTTTACAGCATCCCTGTTCAACAACGACGCTTGCCTGAGTTTCCTCAAATTCATTTGAAGCACCATTAAAATAAGAGAAAAAGGAAGTTTGGAAAAGTACTTATTGCTAGTCCACCGAAATCATTCCGATGCGCCTTCAGCTCCTGACACTGACTCAGAAGATGCGAACCGAAGGTGATAACAAAAGCTCCACTGACATCGTTTCAATGGCGCACTTTGTTGTACTATATTTATTCTGATGTTGATGGTTTGGACGAATGATCAAATGCAAGTGGGCAGAACCGTCAAATGCTATGTTGCCGTGTAAGCCATACACAGCGAGGTTTTCGTCAACCATCGATGTGGAAGACTGGGGAGATTTTGAGCAGCATACATCTGCACTGCGCGTGAGCAAGGATTTCCAAGAGCCAGAATATAAGTTCGGACTGAGGGTCAGCAGTATTAGCTGACCTCAAATTACACCTGCCTACACTGTCACCCAAAAATTTACATTTACTGAGGGAGTACGACAAACTCATTAAAAACACCCAACTGAGTGATCTGGAGAATCGAATGGACTACCACTGGTTTCTGACTTTCGCCGGATTACCCATCGGAAACTCACAGGCTTCTCTAGAACAATTTTGATAAAACTCACGAACTGAGAATCTGTAATCCAGGCATACGAGAATTCGGTCGCTAGGCAAACACTGATTCGGCTGTCCTCACAAAACTCAGCAAAACTGTCCTCATTGTCCTTGGCTGATGTTGTCGCGTAGACTGCGGTTTTTGGGGGTTCAGACAACAGAACGAATAGATCAGTATCAAAGATTGTGAAATAATGAGGTAAATTATCGACGACTGGACCGTGTGTCTTACGGAATTTGTGAAGCTGCCAGAAGTCTTGAACAAACAAACTACTCAGAGGGTCACTGAAAACTCTTGGACATCACACCATGGTTTTCACGCTTCGTGGGGCTACACAGGTAGCGGCAGTCCTCCAGTTTTCCTCAACCTTAGTTACTTGAAACCAGACTGGACTGAAATTGCCGAACACCTATATAAACGAGACATTCAGCTGGATTCGGTTAGATCAGCCCGCCAGAATTTAATCAGTGTGTAAATGTGTAATCTGTGTAATTGTATAATGTCACATTAGAGACCAACAAAATATCACACTTTTTTCACCGGGATTACAGTGATTTCCTCCACCCAGCTGAAACTAGTTCGACAGCAAATATGTTGTGCGATCCCAGGCTAAATGCCTCTCGCATAAAGCCACAAACTATACACATACAATGAACACGGAGAGAACAAGAAGCAGCCAGGGTTAGGACTTCCCTCTTTTTCATCTGCCAGTATGGATGAAATTTCCCAAGAGTCCCAAGAGTTTTAGGGAAAAAAATTTACTCTACTTACTTCCCACTTCTGAAGGAAGCATACCCTGGAAGATAGAGCCGGAGCGGCAAGCATCCATGTAAAGCACCATTTTCTTGTACTTATAGTTTGAATACAGGTAGATGAGGAGTTTGTTGAACTCCGCGGCATCGAGCTGTCACCAGAAAAGAAAAAAATCCCCTGAGCTCGAGATAACTTACTGATTGTAACGTGAAATTTAGGACCAAATGGTCCAGTTTTGCTAACTAACCTCAGAATTTCAACTTCTTTTGTCCTGGCTTTGGCAACTTAGCAGTGTCCCAGCCATAGTGCTGCCTTTGGGTGCAATGATAACTAGGCACTTAATGGGTGATAAGCTGAACGATCATTGAATTTTTGGAAACCGGGTCCAACAGAATCATTTAAAGGACAAAGTGTGAATGCGTTTTGCTTAGTTCTCCTGAAGTTGATGATGATAGTTCACCGGAATGTCCTTTATAATAATGTAAATCCTGCTTGGAGAGGGCCACTAGAACTAATGTTAGAGCGAACGAGCTGGCAGTCACAAAATCTGAACGGCCACATTGAAGGACCGTTTTCCAGGTTATTCCGGCTATCAATTTGAAAGGAAGTTATTAATGAAATGTCACATTTCTATATTTCATCCACTGTAATGGACTTGAATAGATTTGATTGCATAATCAAAATGACTACAACGATCGAAAGACACATGAATACTCCCATTACAATGATGTGCTTGTTTGGATGAATGTAGCTTTGATGTGAGGAATTACATCATAAGTCTTGTATTGGTCGTTGAGAAGCGAAGTGTCCTCCTTTAATTCAAGCCAATTTATTGAGAAAATTCTATCCCTAATCACGTTACACGGAGATTTAGAGATTTCCAATGAATTGTAAAAATTCAAACGTTATCATACTACCAAGAGACTGTAAGTAGTTCAGATAGCAAAATACTCCACAAGGCGAATGGATTTTGAAATTGGAAATTTGTCAGCCCAGGGGTCAATCTCCAGTTGTGTGGATACCTTGATTGAAGAATGAGCGACGTAATATCCCGGTTACTTGTGGATAATCCATGCTGTTGTTTGACCGCCCGTGGCCGAATGGTTAAATTTTGGACCTACTAGGCGCACTTATGTGATTGCCCATATGGATAGTAAGAGTTGTACTTTGCTTCTCGGCTTTTAATCAAGGACTGCCTTTTCATACATAAAATACGAAAGCTTCTTCATACTACCGAAGATTCGCTCCGTCCCTCTGGCAGTAAAAAGGGAATGTGGTCTCTTCAGGCTGCCGCGTTCTTCGTAACATTCTTTGCACCATCTGTGCCCCATGAGTGACCGTATACAGCCAGGTTCGCTGTTTATAGTACCTTCGTTTGCTCATCAGTTTAAATGAACCAACTGCGAACTCATGTTTTTTGAGCGACTCTGAACTTAATTTAATAAAATCTATGTGACGTTATCAATAAAACAACTTCAAGTCCCTCACGCAACTTGGGAGACGTCCGACCGTCGGGTTTTCTGTTCCCATCTTCGGCTGACGTGTGGGCCATTTTTAAAGTGAAACTCTTTTATAAAGAATTACAGATAAATATGCGCAAACATATTTTTATTGATGCCTTTCGGACTTTCTAAAAAAAGCTGTGTTATGAACGCGGTTACCAAATTAAAGAAACTTACATTTTCACTTGGAAAGGAAATCTCGTAAGGCAAACCATGGCCAGTGTAATAGATGAACACGTAGTCATCTCGACCGCTATCAGTGAAGAGGAAGGTTAATGTGGTCTTGAAGAGTAGCTTATTGGGTGGCGTTCCTAGGTATGGCAAAAGATAACAAAGAAGCCGCAGGATTCGAAATCCCTAATTTAAATTCCCCAATATTTTGAGATTCGTCTTACGTTGCAGATGCCCAGTATACGTAATCCGCCTTGGATAACCGAAAAATAGGTAATCAGATATGTATGAGAGTTTCACGGTTCGTTTATTTCCTTGGAACAAGAAAACGACTTTGTCCAATTTTGAGCAGTTTATCCGCGCAGTTCCTAAATGTCTTTTCTGTTAAGAAAATTCACACGAATGTATTTGAACGATAGCAAACACCCAGGTCGAAGTTTCTCTTTGTACACGCTACTGGATAAAATCTTTTGTTTGAGTAACAGCCAATCGACTACTGTTTGCATGGTCACATGAGAATGAGAACGGAAATTGGGAAGTCTGTGTGCTTATATTTGTATCAAGGGATATAGATGCTCCTATGTTTTTCGACAGATTGAGCAGATATTTGATAATGCATGACTGAACATAACTAAATCTTTGTGAAACTTCTTAATATTATCGATTGACGATTCAATATGATTTAATGTTTTATGATTTAATATGATTTAATATTAACTGCCAGTCTGAAATTGATAAACCGGATTCCCTATTGAATAAAGTAAATTTTTCTGACTGACGCATGACTGCCTACTTGAGGAGGTTATGTAAATACGGACACGGAAAACTAGTTTTCTGGGTATGTTCAGCAAGTGCAGCAATAATGTTAACTTTCGTGCAAACTCACCTATTCAGCACCTTCTTCCCTTGTCTCTCAAGTGTCTTATCGCCTTTCAGTACTTTCTCGAACATTTTCGGATTGACATCCTTAAAAAGATAAACACGCATGACCAATCGTTCCTGTGACAATGGTGTTTTCAACAATTATTAATTTCATATTAACCATTCGTCTGCCGTTACCAAATAGTTGAGACTTATAGCCTGTTTCCTATCACTATTTCGATTAATTTCACAACGTTCGCAAAATGCTGGAAAATGAAAATTTGGTTGTTAATGTGCTTGTACATAATGGCAGTTGGATCCCGTAGCTAGCCGATCCAGCATTAAGATGAGCTCAGATTGGCAATAGCGCATCCAGGAGGCGCCAAAATTTCAAAAGATAGTCGGCCGCACGCACTTCACAAACGACGCGCTGCATCTAATTGCGGGCACTGATGCACGCTGGGGTTCTTTTGAAAAGAACGCTAGCTTGGGAGTCTCAAATCAGGAAATTCGCTTCAAAAACGGCGTTAATACATGGAAGCCCAACTCATGGCCCACAAGCAAAGTTTAAAATCGGTCCTGGACTGCTCGAGAGTTATCTATAATCATACGACTAGTGTTCGCTCAACAAATTTTAGTATTAGTTATATAATAACCCTGACCAGTCCGCCCTACCGTTAATATTGTGTTTTCACACACACGGTCAGGTTACTTGCACCTTGTGTTACACGGTGAAATGATGGAAAAATCCATCCAGTTGCTGCGCACCGGAACATGGACATACCTTGTCGCGGTAGTCAATTACCACACCGTTGTAGACATCTTCGTGCCTGTAGTCATGGAACACGCTGCCTTTAAACGGATTGCTGGAATGAGGAAATGAATGGTGGCATTTGATTTTTTAGGGAAGTTAAAATGTAGATCGAATAGAAAGAAATGAAAGGATCGAAAATTCTGTTTTGCGTTGGTCCGCGGGTTTGATGTCCAATAAATATTTAAGACGATGAGGGCTCCTTGTGGCACGCTTTGGATGACATACTATCCTTAATGCGGTGATGATGTAGAGATCCAGCAATGATGCATGTAGGTACATAACAAAGTACAGAGACAAACTGCATAAAATTTATAAGTTATATTTATGTATACAGCCAAACACCACCAGCAGTAGATTTCATTAGCAACATCTCACCCAGTGCCTTGGATCAAATTCGAGTGAGCACCAAATGACTTGCGATTATTACACTCTCCATGCAAGAACCACTTTTTGCGGCATTAGAAGTTTGCGCCACAAGCAAACGTTTTTTTACAAACTCCTAAGTCTACTGGATTATCTGTTTATTACTTACTCCAAATCATCAGGCGGCTGACGCACCCAAACGACATCTAGGTGTCAGTGCTGTTAATATTGTAGCGACCCAGTCACCAATATGCTTGACCGGTAAACTCAATCGCTCACTGGATCGCGAGGTTTGCCAATTTTCTCATACGCACAAACACGTCGCATTAAGCTGACACATCGGACATCGATTGTCTGCACCGCCTAGTCAGCGTAGCAACCACTCATGTGCCGACGCGTCCAAATACACGCACTGGAACCTACACAAAGGCAAACCGAACCCAGTCAGGACACACAGACTCGCGCGCGCGCAGGGAACAGGACGTCTACCTCTACATGTCCACGGACAACCATGGAGTACGTTGAGGAGTCTAACTGCGGAGAAAAACGTTCCCGCCTCCAGAATTCCATCAAGGGACTCTCATACACGATAAGTTCCCTTTTTGACTTGCTCCCATTTTCGCATTGTATTTATTTTTATACGTGTCACAGAAATACTAAAAACTTCTATTAGTGCACACATACACCGTCTGTTTTGTATTGTGGCAATCACTACCTGTGCACTAATAATTTCAGACTACTGTCATATGAAAGCAAGTTAAAATGTGCTATCCACCAGCGGGGATTTACCAGAACAGTGGCTATTTGATATGACAAACAGGTTGTGCTGGTTACTTCATGGTTCTGTGCAATTCAGTCATGAAATTTTATGGAAGAAAAGGAGAAAGCAAAAATTGTTCGCGATATTTACCTGCGATTGTTTGCAATATCGTCCACGGCGAAGGTAATTATATTCTCCGGTGGAACATTGTTTGCACGCACGACTTGATAGGCGTGGTAAACGTTCGCCTGAATGAGAATACAAATGACAGATGTATTGGGGTTGAACTGATATAGAGCGAGGCAAGGACGCTGAAGAAAGCAAGCAAGGTGTCCGGAATCATCCATGATTCTTGGAGTCTCAGTTCTATCAAAAGCACTTGGATGCATTATCTCTGTCCAAAAATTGAAATGTAACTTACGCATGTGAGTTTCCGTTAAGTAATTGCTTAAATTCGGGCATATTCAGCTGATTGTCAGATGTTTGGCCACCGCGTGGCTGCAATAAATACCGAGCAGTCTAGTGCTGATCGATGTATGATATTTTTCAGGTTTTGCAATAGAGAATGTAACCCAGCTTTGCCGCAACGCCGATTTGCGCTATACAGCCTGTTCACTCTTCTTGAGAACTGTCTGTTGTGGGGATCTAATACTTCTCGGGAGGGACTGGAACAAGCCTACTCCCCACTATTAAATGAAGACTAATCCATTTGGCCACGAGTAGCTTATCCGTGGTGTGGTTATCTAGGGCTCCGTCCTACTTGGAAACTTGTTTTGACGGGCATTTTTGCAAGAAACCGAAATATCTCAATTCCCGGTGAACGTGCGGAATCCAAACTTATTGTCAGCACAGCACCGCTATTCTGAAATTATCACAAAATATGCGAATAACGAACAAACTGCGTCATTTTTAATTGAAAATGTGGAAGCTTGGTGCAGGCTATTTAGCCTGAAAACGCATTTCTGATTCTCTCGGAGAGGGAGAGGTCGGGGTTCCTTAATTCTTGTTACTCGATTGTGCCGTGGAAGCATGTTGCAGGCTATTTAGCCTGAAAACGCATTTCTGATTCTTTCGAAAAGGGGAAGATAAGAGTTCCTTAATTATTGTTACTCGATTCCGCACAGATCTCCGATTGTTTTGTTCTTGTTTGAGGTTGTATTATTCATCTGAATAACCGATAAATGAACACTTGTGGTTATGGAAGAAAAACACCAACAGATAAATTTCAAGTCCCCCCGTAATATTGCATCCGCCGTATATACGTTTCATCCTCGGAGTTTGATAGACCAGATTTGCATCGGGCCACGAGGTTGTTCATTTCTTAACCAGCTATGTGTCTACGATCCATTGATGACTATGAATAACAGCCTTCGTCTTGACCTTGGAAGATATTTCATCCACGATCCCTCTAAATGAAAACAACTCCTGGAGAAATCCCAAAAACTAATCTCCTTCGCCTGCAGTCAGTTTTGTCACTCGAAATACAAATGTACTCTGCCAGTGTCTATAAGGGAGAAATCCCACCTTACATGGGCCCTACGATTTGAGCAGTGTATACGTGACACTCAAAGAGCCTCACATACCAGGATGGTCTACGCCGAACCACGACCAGGTCGAGGTGCGAAGCACTCCATTGACTGTCTGCACAATCTACCACCAATCTGAAAACCCACCAGTGCTAATAGACTCCGGGGATAAAAGCCTTATTCGAAGGCAATAAATGGCCTGCTGTCTATGTCTGGGTGTCCAGCTGTAAGGTAGGACACTACTGATGTGTTATGCGAGTACCCTGCGGCCTTCTGGAAGCTCCATCCCGCGCTTAATGGAAGGCGAGTTTTACTACGGAACACCTGGCGACGGTTCGCCGTGTTCCTTTACAACGGCATTATATTCCCTGAATAGCCATAGAAATCGAGAATGAATCTTGAAAATATTCAGCTTCTGAAAACTATGGGCAAATGAGACGGTTATTTTTGTGTTCAATAGATTGTAGCTGCTTAGTGCTTTTTGCCAATAAATGACTTCGCGTTGAAGGGCTTACCTCTTTGAACTGGTAGTTTCACAACCCGATTTCAAACATGCAATGCACGCTTATAATTAATCTCATGTCACCTCGGCCGAAATTGGTGTCGTCAATCCGGCCACCTTGTCTTCTATATATCGCACGGTGAATTAGCGAAATCTGGTTACAACTGAACACCTCCTTCCTTCCTTTTCTCTCCTGGATCCGGTATTCTCAATTTCCTCTGGTTTAAATTGTCGTCCCTGAAAAATGCGCGGCCGACTCGGTCGCCACAACGTTGGACGCTCCGAAATTATTCTTCAGTTCATCGACGTATATGAAACGAGCTGCACAGTGTGCTTGCTCGCTGGACTCGCTGTCTGAGCTTTCCAAAATGCGGGTTTTAGATCCCACCACGGTTGCTGAACTGATCTCTCCATGGGTTTGCCCTGGCTTCTACATGCGCGCCTTTGGTAATCCGGAAGCCGCCGCTGCTTGTTCTACTGGAGCTGGAACATTTATCTGAACAAGGGTCAGACACCTGTTTGCTTCCGACACCCCTCTCGGACAAGACGACTTCTTATGTTAACTTCTATCAAAAAGTCCGGTCTGCAAGATGCTGGGGCACTACGCTTTTGGAATAGTGCAGCAAACTTGATGCAAGTGCTGGATCTCGGACAACCCTCCTAATTCCTTCGAAGGTGCGGGAAGATCACCTCCAGATGGTGAATTAAATACCACTCAGCGAACAGCAAAAACGCTTTTGGCCAGAGCGACGCGCCTGCATGGGTTTAGAACCTTTGTTTGCTGAATACTTGGAGGGAGCAAGATATTCTTGGGTTATGCTTTATTTACTCATGCCAGCCCCAAAGAGTTCTTTCATGGGCCAAGCAATTATTGAAAAGCACGACCATACATTGGGGTAAGACAATAAAACAACTAATCCGATGTCTAATTGCAGCCTCTCACTTGGAGTCCTGACACTGTAGATGGAACCTCCGAACACTTTGGAAATAAATAATTACAAATCATTTTTCAAGTGTCATCAAGCTACTGGCCCTGACCAATTCCGAATCCCCATGGTCAAATATGGCATTGAAATAACTTTTCGTTGTTTGTCCAGCTTATTTGTTTCCCAGAGGGAAAAACTGCCTTGACAAGCTGAGTTGACTTGATGGGGCCTAAAGTGAGTATGGCTATCTCTGAGGAATTAGCTTGACGTCCGCTGTGACCCAAATGTCTCCTGAGCCCACATTCTGTCGTTTCACACAGAAAATTGAAGACAGGACCCGCGATATGAAAGCGGAATTCCAGGCTGGCAGGGGTTGTGTGAACTACTATTTCACATTTCGTGGAGTGTCAGAACAACCAAATGCGTAGAGGAGCTCCACAATTTTGTTACTCCTTGACTTCGATAATAACACATTCGATTCTGTCGTGCGTTTTTACACTAAAGCAACAATCCCATTGCAGCGAAGGATAATGGCAATAAAATATGACCCACGGACACTTAAGAATGCATACAGAAACATTCAACATGCGTTACCTTTTTGCATTCGATTCTCCTATAGCCCCATGCAAAGCAGCCATAAACGGACGAGTGAATTCAACCGGAGTGGCCTACCTGCCTGATAGTACCGAATTATTTGCTCATGTTGCTAAGCAATCCTAGAATAGATCTGTTCTGGGTAACAACAAATGTCCTAGCTACGTCAGTGGTCTTTGTTGAGATTTCTGAGACCTGGTTGAGTCAGCAGCAGTTACAAAGCAAGATGAGATGATTAACGGTGAGTTCAAGATCATCGAATTCCTAAAATTCTATTTACTAGAGGGTAGTGATTTCGTTCAACCTAACGCTACATGGAACGCTTATGGGTGACAATCTTTGTCTCCGAATAAAGCGAACCAAGGTATGCACTTCAGTGAATCAGGGTTGAATAGGACGGCCCACCAAAAGCGAAGTTTCGTTGAACATTGAAATACTGTGGAAAACGAACACAAACCAACGAATGTGTGTCCAGTAGTTTTGTCTTCTGTTCACCGACATCTCCAGTGAAACGTCACAGCCATGTAGGAAAATAAGTAGGAAACAACTGTTTGGGAAACCATTAGTGCAAATTCTCACGTTGAAAACACTTTCGTGTGGACTTGGAATAAAAGGTTTGACTCAAACCGATAAAAAAGCAACTGGAACCTACTTGATGTCGATAATTTGTCCACGTGTCGGAGCCAGCCAAAAGGATGACCCAATTCTTCGACGGCTGGTTGTTCAATATCGATGACCAATTGTGGACACCGATGGCTTCCGAACGTGCAACAAGGTCGATGGAGAACAAGAACGCAATAAGGAACGAACAACCACGCTTCATATCCAGGTTTACTTGAAGTTCCATGTATCTGGAATTTTATACTATTCGCCTCTGTAAACCGAACTTTGCCTCAAACCTATATGCCGAATGTGTGAAAAAGCTGTCCACCACAAAGGTAATAGACGTGCGGTACAAAGTTTACGCTAATCAGGGTATGATCAGCAATTTCGATCCCCTGGCTCAATGACTGATCATTTGCGGAGACGATTTTCAACAATGTGTGCAACTTCGTCATTCGTGATTTTTTCTAGGAGGAACGGGGATCAATACGTTGAGCACGGAGCGTACTGAGAAGCAAACCGAGCCTGCAAAATGATTTTAAATAGCGGCTCGCAACAAAATTACTTTTGCTGAAAACTTCCGTCCCTGGGCACTGAAACGTGTTGTGTATAAAAAATCACACTGAAAACGTGTATCTGGAAACCTGCAGGTTTTCTGCCGCCCAGAATAAAATTCGACAATCTGCCACAACACAAAATGAGAGCATTTAAAGTGAAGGGGGATTCTTCGTGAAAAAGTTCTTAGTACGAAAATTTTTAGAGCGGTGTTTCATGTAATCTGTTAAACTTTCGTTAGACAAAACCCTGCACTGTCCGGTGGTTGATCCTTAATTCGCCTGCTGAACAACCAGGTAAAATTTGGGCCCAGAACTTCTGATCACTAGTGCGATTATCCACCAGTTAGACTGGATAAAGCGCTAATCTTCCTGCAATCACAGAAACTAAATCACGTGAACATGGATTGACGAGCTTCTCCAGTTTCGACCTCTTAGAAGGGACCTTCATTCTTTTAGGGAAACTATTCTTTCTCTAAACAACATGTAGATTGTTGGTAGTATGAATAGTTTGGGTTAGTTCGAGTGACGATTTCGTCCAACAGGTGAGGCCAGTCTACTCCGCTAATCTGGGAAGGGTTTACACGTATTGTGTTTCACGCATGTCCAGGAAGAGTCAAACCTGCAAATTATACAAGATAAAACAACCCACCTGGCTGATAATACATACACTGGTGCCCGCCAAGCTGCTCCCATCTCCATGAACTACTGCTATAAGATGAACCTACAGTTTTAGCTCCATTTATGATCCCTCATGTTCTCGCTGTTTACAGCGGCCTTGCGTGTTTTCGGTTTTCGCCTTGTCCCCATACCCACTAGTTTTGATTACAACCAGAAAGTTAACCAGTGTCTGACAATGAGCAAAAGTCCACCTACTAATCAAACTTGATGTAGAACGACCAACACAACGTAGCTAATCAAGCTTCGTCGTCGTGGTACTTAATCGTCACCATCATTTTCATCATCATGAGAGCATGTTATCACATATCTTGCTGAGAGGCTTATTGTGAAAAATAGAATATATTTTGAGAGTGATGACACACAATGCTAGCCAACAGCACTCAGGTGCCTACATCCACAAGCACAGTTTGGGACAACCTGGAATAAAAGGCCGGTAACACCGATCACCAGCCCTGACCTGCATCATTCCAAAAGTGATTTGTTCTCAACGCACATACATTTTCTATATTCAATTTAGGATTTCATTTCGGTTGTACATTTAAGAGTCCGTTATGTTTCCCACTGACTCAGCAGATGAGACACTTTGTGTGGTTCATTTTTGCGATTTTGCCCCCTTTCTGGAAGGCCCCGTATTTCATACGAGAAAGTCTCGTCTCCGGACGTGGTTGCATCGCTCGATGAGAATAAGTGCATGTGCGTTTGCCGCCCTCTGTACCGAAATATCAACTGATTCACTACACATTGTGTACCGTATTTAGGTGGATGGATATGTGGATCGATTAGAATATATAGTCATATATTTTCCCTCATTTACACCAGAATATTTCAATGTTTTCAGCTCACCAATGGTGATTGCAATAAGATAAGTAATCACAATGCTATTCGGGTACTAATTATTTTCAAGAATCGCATTTAGTGTCAGAAATTTGAGGTGCGAAAATCGGCCTTGTCCTAATACTGTGCAGCCACGATGGGATGGGATGTCGGGAGAAAGCACAATTCGGGCAGAAATTTGCCACCGCCATTTTGTCATTGAATGTTGGGGCATGGTGTTGTGCATTGCTGGTTTTCGATTTCCAAGTGCAGCATTACTCCAAGGGATCCGGTAACCATGTCCAACACTTATCGCTTTTTAGACGTTGTGCTTTAAGCAAACAGCTGCATTTCATCAGATGAAACCCTCCACCTGAACAGTTTGCTTTTAATTCCTTAGGTCGCATAATGAACAACCAGAGAAATTTTGGGCCAAGAATTGCTGACCATTGGGGTGATCTATTAACGAAACCAAATCATATGGACACGTGTTGAGGGGCTCATCATGGCATGCTTCTATATTCGCTTTTCGGGCAGTACTTTTTGGAAAACATTACGTTACAACGTGGCAAAGCACATGAAAACAAACTAAATTGTGAAATCGTACTGATATTTTCCGCGCATCAGACTACCATTAGAAAGGCGTGAGCAAACTAATCGCCGCGCTCCCTCTGAAGTCTGTCTTCGTCCGCTCTCAGCATACATTGGTACCCAGGTTCAGAAGTGGACCGGTAGAGAGTGTTCAATGACGTGGGAAAATTCGGTGATGACGTGAATAACAAACTTCTATGACTATGGACAAGTTTTTGCTTGGTGACAGGACTTGGTGCAAACAAGGTCCACATTTATGCTACGAGAAAAATTCCGCGCAAAGGTCATTTTCGACTCATTCCGTCAGCAATCTAGAAAACTTAAGATTGAAAAGCTTATCCTTGAACCATATTTGCTATCTCAAACAACAATTGATTGTGTTTCTTTCTCTGAAGATACTGTGTCTTACGCTGAGACGCTATGAAACATCATGAAGGTGATACATTCCAGGAGAGGCGAGATTCTGTACGATTCATGATTGCAAGTTGGTGGTGTCCCAAATAGACGTGTTCTTCCGAATTCAGCAGTAGTTTTTTGTTTCACATTTCATCTTTCCGGGATTATGCAAGGCTTCCTTATCCATTCCATAACAGTTTATTTGACCAGCCGGCCTGATGCCCATAGATGTGTGAGCAACAGTGTGTAATTGGTTGTTCGCATCTCTAGCCATGTGGTCGAGTGCAGTACAAGTGAACCTCAGTCAAGGTGAAACAGATGTACATCTCTTCCTGGCGTCATTCGCCGGACCAAACATTTCCTAACATTCGCCGAACAGCTTTGTTTTTGTCAACGTTGTGAATGCTCTACGAGCTCCTTCGTGTCAGCTGGAGCTCAAGAATTGCTAGCTTTAAAACTCACGTGTATTATCGTATTGTCATGTGATGAAGAAATTTCCTGCAATAATCTATGGTATCCGGGTCATTTTTCTGATTGTAGACACCTATGACGTTTCATGTATATCCTGCGCATTCACAATGCCGGTTCATCTTAACGATGCTGTCATTCTCCCGGGTTCGGTTCGAAACTATCTGCAAGGCTTAGTTGTCTATTCCGTATCAGCTTCGGTGTTCACGACATCCTGAGAATAGTTTTGCGAGAGTCTGAGAGGGTCTGTGTTCGGAAAAACAGCCGGTAGGTCGATTGTTTATTTTTCAGATTCATAGTGCAAGTGAACCACGGTTGGTGTGGAAACAATATAAATACGTACACAAATCAGTAGTACCTCGGTGATTTTTAGGATCCTTCGTGACCGCGCATTTCATGTAGTGCGTGTCACGCTATCGTTCGGGTAATTTGGCAGGATAGCTATGTGACGTGGCCAAGAGTGCAACTAACCTAAGTTTTCTTTGAGTCTTCGTTCAGGGGCAGTTATATCATCATCGAAATCGGTGCAAACTAGTGTGTGTGAATCCCCAACTTGACAATTAACAAATGAGTTCATATGTGGGCAACACAGGCTTGTATGCAGGTAAGTGGAATATTACGAAGGTGACTTCGAGTAGACTATACAGTTCGGTGTGAATCACCTTCCGGGATACGACAGATAAGTCTCACCTTTTTCAGTTTTAATAAAACTAATGCAGGGATAAAACTCTTTGAAAACCCTGCACGAAATGACTGATAATCCGACTCTCTGGCGTCCCTCTTGTCAGTTTCCATCCAGATTGTCTGAATGATTGTCTGGGGGATTAAGTCATCGTCAATTGATTGCGGTATGCAGGAACTGAATAAATTACCTTTCTTTTTATTGTGAAGTACCAACTGGCTTCACTTCGAATCAGTGAAGCAAAAAGCGCCAATATATATCACTTTTAATAAATTTCCAGGAAGAGTTAGACATTTTGTGTGGCTGTTCGCCACGGAGCTCCTTCTTTTACAAATTACTGCCTTCAGATGAAATTGCAAATTAGGTTCCCACGTTCTCGTTGTGAAGAACGGTACTTAATGTTTCTCCTCTATGCATTGTTCCCACGTCCATTAGTATGGTTTATGAACAGGACGTCCAATCCCCATTCAACCCTGTAATAGCACGCCCACCACAGCATAACCATCGCCATCGCATTTCATCGTCATCGTCATCATCCGCGACCTCATCAATGTTAAACACTGATAACTCGATAAGGTAAAAACATGATTTACTTGAACGGCTTATTGTGAAGTAACCAGCTCACATTTATCCTTCTCAGGTGTCCACGCATTCAAGCATTTATGCAGTTAATTGCGACTGCAATTGCAGCGATTGCGAGCCATATTCTAAAGCATCAACAACTTGATTTGTTTTAAAAGAACGACTTCTGAAATTCTGCGGCCGTTCTGAGAATAATTCGATTCTACGAATGAACACCGTCATTTGTTAAAATCCTCTGCACAATTCTCTTTCGGCTCAATCGAGATTAACATTCCTTCAGTTGATCAGTCCATTGTGGTGGTTATTCATGTAACTTAGGCCATTTTCATGAAGACACCCAAAGTTTCAACGAGAAAGCCTCCTCTCTGGATTTCTCGTACGGTGAATATGAAGAAAGATTGTGTTTTTTGTCATGCTCTCTAGCACAATATCAAGTAAATCACTGCAAATTTCCCAACATATTTAAGTGGATGGAAA